TCTCCTTTCTACTCTCTTTCATCATCATTCCACCAATCGCCCCTTTTCCCTCCTGCACCCACTTTCCCTTTCCCCCAAACTTCTGGAACACTCTAACACTACATTTTTTAAAACCCACCCCTACCCCTTTGCCCCCTTGCCTAGCCTCATTAGCCCATCTATCCTCCAATAGCTGTTTATATCTTACCCCAAATGCCTCCTCTTTTGTTTTTTAAAAAACCTTCCCTCTCTTTTCCCCCTGATGCTTCATTCTCCTTTATCCCATCCCCTTTTACTCTCAGGTAGTACAACTAGAAAGTGTTTTCTGATTTTCTGGGGCCCCTCTATAAAATGTACATCGAAGTCTACCAACAGTCTTTTTTACCAATAATAATCCAACAAACTACTTCTTTTCCCCCTACATCATATCGTGTATACTTATTTACCCTTTTTTCTTAAATATTATTACCTATAAAAACCCTTTCTATACAAATTTCAATAAAAGGGCTCCATTATATTTACACCTGGCACCCAAATTCCTCCACACCCTCTCTAAATTTTCCCCCTATTTTAGCATTCAAGTCCCCTACCCAATTATCTTCATTTGGGTTAAAGGCCCCTTTAATTCACAAAACACCCCCCCAAAATCTCTCTTTCCTCTGATTCCTCTCTTCTCCAGGTGCATAACGTTATTAGCCCACTTTCGCACCCAACTTTACTTTAATCCACAAAAATTTTTAAATTTTACACATTCATATTCTTTTTTCTCCTTCCATAATGATCATTTAACATTACTGCTCCCCCTTCCCTTTGCTCTAACTCTCCGATACTCCAATTTACCCCATTTTTTCCCCCCACTAAAACTCCCCTACCCCCTTCAGTTTGTTTCGTTGGGCGGAATCCAACTTCTTTTCATTCAAAAACATCAGAAACATCTGTTTCTTGTCTGCACTACTCCACGCACTTTAAGAACCCCATTTTTTATAAAGTTTTTCTTTTTTTCTTTTTTAGAAATTGTATACAGGGGGGGGGGTTACTAGCCATTGCCCCCGGATTTTAGTCGCCTATACGACCCATGGCTTCGGGGGAAAGATTTTTTCCCATTTCCCATGGACAATAGAAGAAATAAAAAAGAAAAAGAGCTTTTTTAGAAAAAGGAGAAAACCTGATGTATGTATATATATATATGATGTGCGTGTTGTAAGTGTGAAAAAAGTGTTGTAGGAGTAGCAAGAATCCCTGTTATCTTAGGTGTTTATGAGACAAAAAAAAAGAAACCAGAATCCTACATCATGCAAAAAAAATTACAGGTTTTTGTTTCACAGTCATCTGGCAGGAGGTAGTATTTTCCCGGGGGTTGCTGTCTCCCAACCCTACTACCTTCTATTATTTGTATTATTTGTATTATTGTTATCATTACGTTTTCTTCTTTCCTCCCCCTCCTCTTCTTCTTCTTCCCCCTCCTCCTCTCCCTTTTTTCTTCCTCCTCCTCCCTCCTCCCCCTTTTTTCCCCTTTCCTCCTCCCTTGCCTCCTCCTCCCCCTCCCTCCTCCCCTCCCCATTTTTGGAAAAAGTTTGAAGAGCTTGTATTCAAATCACTATCACTATCATCCCAATGCTCACATCTGAGTCTGGGATTTGGAAAATAGGAGTTTCCTCTTTGATTTGGTACAACTAAAAGTGAACAAGAGGGCCCCCAGCACCAGAGGGGAAGGCTGTGGTTGTCTGGGTTTTCCTCACTATTCCCATTTGGTCATTTGTTTCGGGCAAAACCTCACCGAAACCCTTTAAAAACATCTTCACGTCACTTCCTCTGATTTTGAACTGTCACTGGGGAACAAAAGTGTCCCCAAATTTGCTGAGGAGTGGGAACTTCTTCCGCAGGCACGGTGGAAATTGTGTACTATGATGGCATTCCACAATGCACCAGGGTCCCAATTTTTTTTCCCCATGCGCACACCCCCCACACAGACCCCTTCTCTACATCTAGGTTATCAGCCTTTTCCCGGAGTTTGAGGCCGTAGAATTTTTGGTACTAGAGTCAAAAAAACCCCACGCGTAAAAGTACTGTACGCCAAAACCCCCAAAGGGTTTTTAAAAACCCAAAAATAACACTTACACCATTTACTCCTCTCAAATATGCCCCAAAATTTTATTCATTAAGGTAAATTTTTATGTTTCTATGTTTTTTTAAAATTGTTTTTTAATGTCACATTAGATGAATTGTATAGAAAATAAGCCCTCAAGATGATATTTTTGGTCATATTGAAACATAATAAATTGTTTCCCTTGCCTCCCCGAGTGTCATACACCAAAAAGTCGGTCAATAAAAAGGCAAGTGTGATGTTACATGCTCATTTGTCCATTTTATTAGTGCTTTATATTTATTTATCATTGTTTTCTGTATGTATATTTATATTTAATCTTCAAAAAAAAATATTTTTTGTTAATACTTTTGGCTGTCTGACACACATTAATTGGATTTCCATTATTTCTTATGGGGAAAATTAATTCGACTAATGGCAAATTCGACCAACGGGTAGCTCTCTGGAACAGATTAATGCCATTGGTTGAGAGTCCACTGTACTTCCCATTTCCAGGACTCAAGTCCGGCTAAATCTATAATAACCGGTTTCCCTGAATCCCTATACTGCTCACACTCCGACAGCTGGTCAAGTCGCAAAAACCATTCATCTCCATTTACTCCTATCTAACATGCTCACACATGCTTCCTGGAAGTCCAAGCCCCTTGCCCACAAAACCTCCTCCCTCCATCCTTTTCGAGGACGACCCCTACCCCTCCTTCCTTCCCCTACAGATTTATATGCTCTTCAAGTCATTCTCTGATCCATTCTCTCTAAATGACCAAACTACCTCTTCAGCTCTCTGACTAATACTTTTAGTAACTCCACACTCCGAATTCTCTGCATAATATTTACACCACACATTGCCCTTAGACAGGACATCTACACTGCCTCCAGCTGCCTCCTTGCTGCAGCATTTACAACCCAAGCTTCACACCCATATAAGAGTGTTGGTACCACTATACTTTCATACATTCCCTTCTTTGCCTCCATAGATAACATTTTTTGTCTCCACAGATACCTCAACACACCACTTACCTTTTTTCCTTCATTAATTCTATGGTTAACCTCATCCTTCATAAACCCATCTGCTGACAAGTCAACTCCCAAATATCTGAAAACGTCCACTTCTTCCATACTCCCTCCATTGTGATATCCAGTTTTTCTTTATCTAAATCATTTGATACCCTCATCACCTTACTCTTTTCTATGTTCACTTTCAACTTTACACACCCAAGTAGGTCATACATCATTGCAGTGTGGCGATGTGTAAGGGTGGGGTTTAGTGGAAAGAATGTAGAAAGCCTCCTTATTATGCAGAGCATTTCAGGCAAATTAGGTCAGTTGTGTTGCCAGGATGCGACCCACACCAGTCAACTAACATCAGGCGCCTTAAGATATGTACATTAGAGTGTTATATTACACGGCTTTATTTGCCACATTTTGGTTATTGCCCTATTGAAAAATACCGGCACAATGTTATACAACACTATGTGGGTCAGCAGGGGAGACCTCCCGCCATCCCCTTACACACCCATCACCCCCATCTCAGCCTTCATGAATACGTGTCCAGTACAAATGGTCCCTAGGAGCTGTGTTTGTGAATTGTCTTTTGATTTTTTAAATGCCATATCTTGTATCTGCCAAGCAATCATGGCACCCAGTAGTCATACTAGTGTGGCTGAAAGTGGCAAGAAAAGGTATAAGCATTCAAGTCTTAGAGTTAACAAAGAAAATAGAGATAGACAAGAGATAGCCTATAGCCATAATGAAGTATCAGTTTATACAATTAACCCCTTGACTGTTGCAACCCCCAATCCTGAGGTGTCTCCTGCTGTCACAAAATTTCCCAAAAAAAAAAAAAAAAATTTGATGGAAAATTGATGGAATTATGCTCTCGCAAAGTTGGCGATTTTGCCCACTTTGAGCCCTATTTTTGGCTAATTCCATTGTTCCAGTCGACCAAACTCATAGCTATTTCTTTAGAACTCCATTTTTTCTATCGATTGAGTACAAGAAACTACCCATTTACCAATTTCAACTACCCAATAACGTGATCAGAAATTTGCAATTTGGCCAATTTCACGAAAATTAAAAATGACAATTTCAAAATAGGGCCCAGAATGAACAATGCAGACATTCCTGGCCCTAAAATAACATTTTCTTTGTTCATCAGTCACCTCCAGGCCCCTCTTGCTTTCTATTTTGAATTTTTATTCAAACAAAAAATAGAAGATTTACTGTTATGCAGACTACTGCAATACTGTAATAATTGTACAAATAATGTCAACCCATTCATGACTGCATATTAGAATGGCTATTTGGATATTTATTGGACAATGACATCATTTGTTTACTTTTGAACATCGGCAAAAATCAAACATTTCTCCTACTTTGAGCTCCATTTCATGGGTCTTTTTATAGTAAAACCAATCAAAATCACCTCTATTTTTTATAATATGTTTTCCATTCTATCAAATGAGACCAAGAAAACGAGAATATATCCATAAATACTATACGAAAATACGAATTAAAAAAAGTCGTTTTTTTTTTCTCATTATGCACTGTGTGCTCCAGGATTTTTTTTATGGTGCACACTGACCCATTCTCTCACATGTGGGCCTACCAGCTTTCTCCTGCTTGATTTAAAGCCGCTAGAATTTGAATATATATACGTCAAACACGGTACCTCGTAAGACGTATATATACGACCGAAACAGTCAAAGTGTTAAAAGGAATGAGGTAAATATATGAGTTTGTGTGATGAATAACTGGCTGACTTGACTGAGTTGATTGACTTATTTTACTGACAGACTTAGTTAGACTTTCACTGAAGAGGACCCAGACAGTGGTCTGAAATGGTGCCTAGAGTAGCTGATGCTTTACTGTCAGCTGTATAATGTACTGCAGGGTAAAATAGAACAGAAATCCATTACAGAATTTATGCAAACTCCAGTACAGCCATCGACTTCAGTACCAGAACCTCTACCATCCACCTCAGCCCAGTAGGGCCACAGCATAACTCTCCACTCTCTTCACAGTCATCCACAAACACCAGCACCCACAATTTAAGGTAAGAAATACTATTATTTCTGTTGCATTTGTAGTCTTAAGTAGTAAAAACAATACATCACGACAGTGAACAACAATTGTATATTCACTTTTAGTTTTGCAAGATCTGGAGGCCTAAACCCCTCAAGGGAGGTTCCTTGATGCTGGTGAGGGGCTCTTGATCTAGGGAATTGGATCTTTGCTTCGATTCCCTGAATCGAGTCTGAATACCTTCCATCCCCCCCCCCACATGCACTGTATAATCTTATGGGTTTAGCGCTCCCCCATGATTATAATAATAATGGAGGTCTAAAAGAAAAAGTGTTTTTTTTTTTGGGGACTCCCAGGAATGTAACCCTATTTTTCCTATAAGTTCTTCAGTTTATCTAACATGGATTTACGGAATATGGCATTTTCAGGAATGTAACTACATGTAATATAACGGTCTACTGTGCTAATGTTTCCACCTGTACCGGGAATTGGCCCCCGGACCTCAGTGTGTGAACTGAGTGCGCTAGCAATCAAGCTTTCTGTTAGCTAATAATTTCTTGCCAAATTCAAAAGCTACATTAAAATTATCTGGATCATTTTCCTCCAAATAACTTGGTCAACAGAGTGTATTATACAAATCTTCTAGATGGAGATCTAATTTCTCAAATTTCCCATTTACAACTTTGGGATAGAACAATTATTGTAGTTAGAATTTTTCCTTTCTAAAATCAGTTAAGGAATGTCCATCCTGAAATTTTGTCTGCAAACAGTACTTCCTTACAATGATCAGACCCCTCAAGAGTATCTACTCATTGTAACCATCTATCAATCAGTAGTAGCCCACTCTACTGGCAGCCACTTTTGTGCTGCAGCTGTTTTCTTAAATTAAAAAACAAAAAAACTTTCTGTAAATTTTGTAAACAAATGATTGCCCATGATCTTGTAAAAGTAGAAACTCTTTTCTTCTACCTTACTGCCTTTTAATCTCTAATTCTCTTTCTTCCTGATAATTAGTTTGCTTAGCCTGAATTCTAATTCTCCTTGTACCAAGGTTAGTTGACATCTCTTTACCTTACAATCGTCTTGTTTTTTGTTTTTCTTTTCTCTCTATGGTTGGTAGTACTTTAAGTCACATACTGGTGTAAACGTTGGGATTGTTTTGTTACACTTGCTGCCCTTGTTCACACAGTAGGTAGGTACCTGGGTATTAACACACACTTGTGGATTGCATCCCAGGGGGGGTGGGTTAGTAGTCTACCTTAGTGCTGAGCTTTGAAATGAGCAGAGGTAACATATCTTTTAACCTGTTTCAGAAAGAAAAATCCTTGATGCTAGCAAGGAGCTCTTGATCTCCCAGAAATTGAACTTCTTCCCTTCCTTCACTCAAACCTGATGAACTATATTTTAGGGGAAGTGAAAACCCTTAAAGATCTCCAATGCTTTTCCATGACCACACTAAATTATATTTAGGTTGAAGTGCTAAACCTGTAGCGATTATAGTAATTGGGTTCATTCCAAGGAAGTGAAGTACAAGTCTTAATTCCTTGATAAAGACCCCTCCACCATTGTCTGCAAAATGGGAGATGACTAGTTTTAATTCAAGGAAATAGATCAGAGTTCTTATTTCCCAGAATGAGTAATAATTCTCCCCTGGATTCCTATCCCACCCTGTCCCTGTTTTTCAGTTTTTTTTTTTTAACATGTCAGCCATTTCCCACTGAGGCAGGGTGACCTAAAAAAAAAGAAAAACCCAGAAAGAAAGAAAAAACTAATCAATCAACACTTTCACCATCGCTCATACATAATCACTGTCTTTGCAGAGGTGCTCAGATACAACAATTCATATGTCCCTCCAAACTGCCAATATCCCAAACCCCTCCTTTAAAGTGCAGGTATTGTACAGTGGACCCCCGCATAGCGACCTTAATCCGTGCAAGAGGGCTGGCTGTTATGTGAAATGTTCGGTATGCGAATGAATTTTCCCCATAAGAAATAATGGAAATCAAATTAATCCGTGCAAGACACCCAAAAGTATGAAAAAAAATTTTTTACCACATGAAATATACATTTTCCTACACACAAAGAGAAGGATACATGCACAATAGTAGAGTAGTACATGCACAATATATATTGTGCATTTACTACTCTACTAAATGAAGAATAAATGACACTTACCTTTATTGAAGATGCAGCAATGACTGATGAGACACTGTGTCCTGGGAGTGCCTTTTCCTCCTGAGTACTGTAGGTCCTGTTTGGTATTTTCTTCCAGAACAGGCCTTATCACACTGTGTATGCCACTACGATTCTTAAATCTCACAAACCAACCTTTGCTGGCTCTAAATTCACCAATATGAGCACTAGTTCCAGGCATTTTCCCTGTTCACCTGGGTGTTAGTCGACTGTTGTGGGTCGCATCCTGGGAGACAAGATTAAGGACCCCAATGGAAATAAGTTAGACAGTCTTCGATGACACTGACTTTTTTGGGTTATCCTGGGTGGCAAATCCTCTGGGGTTAATTGTTTCTTGGTATTCTCAATAAGCCACACCAACAACGGTGGTACAGCAGCAACAGACGATGCTACAGCAGCAGCAGCAGCTGACGGTGGTACAGCAGCAACAGACGATGCTACAGCAGCAGCAGACGATGCTACAGCAGCAACTGACGATGCTACAGCAGCAGCAGACAATGCTACAGCAGCAGCAGACGATGCTACAGCAGCAGCAGACGATGCTACAGCAGCAGCAGACGGTACTACAGCAGCAGCAGCAGCTGACAGTGCAGCAGCAGCTGACGGTGGTACAGCAGCAGCAGCAGCTGTACTACCAATAGTAGCGATGGTTGATTGGGGTTTATTATACAACCTGGCCAGCTCGGAGACACGCACTCCACTTTCATACTTATCAATGATCTTTTTCTTCATCTCCATAGTAATTCTCACCCTTATTGCTGTAGGGTTGGCACTAGAAGCTTTCTTGGGGCCCATGGTCACTTATTTTCCAGAAAAAATCACCAAAAACACTGTAATAATACGAAATGTTCCGATTGTATGCTTGGATGTTACCGCGGAGGCTGGCTGGTAAACAATGCCACCGGCGGAACATGTGAGCGTGGCTCAGGCCGCACATTAGACGCGTCTTGGACGAAGGGCGGTGAGCGGGTTTTTGGGCGGTATGCGAGGCAAAATTTTTGCGATCAAAGCGTCCGGTATGCGGATTGTACGGTATGCGATGCGTCCGGTATGCGGGGGTCCACTGTACTTCCCACTGCCAAGACTCAAGTCCAGTAAATCGGTTTTCCTGAATCCCTTCACAAAGTATTACCCTGCTCACACCAACAGCTCATCAGTTCCCAAAAACCAATCATCTCCATTCACTCCTATTTAACGTGCTCATGCACGCTTGCTGGAAGTCCAAGCCCCTGGCCCACAAAACTACCCTCTCCCTCCAACCTTTTCAGGGACGACCCCTACCTTGCCTTCCTTCCCCAACAGATTAATACGCTCTCCAAGTCATTTTACTTTGTTCCATTCTCTCTAAATGACCAAACCACCTCAACAACCCCTCTTACACCACACATTGCCCTTAGACACGACATTTCCACTTCCTCCTTGCTGCAACCCATGCTTCACACCCATATAAGTGTTGGTACCACTATACTCTCGTACATTCCCTTCTTTGCCTCCATGGATACCTCAATGCACCATTCACCTTTTTTTCCTTCTCAGTTCTGTGGTTAACCTCATCTGCTGACAAGTCAACTCCCAAATATCTGAACATATTCACTTCTTCCATACTCCCTCCCTCCAATGTGATATCCACTTTTATCTATGTTAACTTTTACACACCCTGCTAAACTCATCTACTGACCTTTGCTATTACACCAGATGATCCAAATTTAATTTTTTGATGCCAATTTACTTTTCCACTTGCAGGTGCCACCGCCTCTTCAAACTGATTTTTCACGGCTGTAATTATGCTTAGTCTGACCTGTGAAGATTGAAAACTTGTACATTCCAGCTGCTAGAATTCTACCTACAGTTAAGTTTACCATTTTAATAAACTACAAAAATCCTTAGCCTTTTCATTATTTTCTTACATTTGATGTCATTGTCTAATAAATTACCATTGATACAGGTGTATCAATGTACTTAAATAAATTCATCCCTTTAAAGGTTTCTTTATCCAAGGAATTGTACCAACCTTCCACATGGATTGAACTTGAATGACTCCCAGGTGCTGTATGACTCCTTTGAGTTTAGTACTCCATAAACATAAGTTATTACATAGGAAAACACTTGGCTCATATAAGTCACAGCACCTGACCTCAGGACCACACCTTGTGTGACCTTTCACCCTTACATTCCATCCACACTAATCAGTCCACCACCACCTTCATTACCACCAAAACAGCACATCCCCAAACACACTAGTCACATAACCACTAACTGCCCCTTCCCATCAACCAGATCACTGACATCATCTCGAGCTGTAAAGTCCTGTGGCTTAGCGCTTCTTTTTGATTATAATAATAATAATAATAATAATGACATCTCGTCAATTCCAGTGTGTGTGTGTATATATATTAATTCATTTTTATTTATTATACCGGCCCTTCTCCCTCTTGAGATAGGGTAACCTGTAAAAGAAACTTTCATCATTCATATGATCACTGTCTTGCCAGTGTCATGTAGACCAAAACTGTTCAGATCAAACAGCAAATACCTCCACCACTCCCTTAGGAGGCGGGCACCTGTACTTCCCATCCTCAGACTAATGGTATGGGGTAACAGTAACCCTGCACAAAATGTTACCCTGCTTGCACTCCAACAGACAGGTCTCAAAACCATTTGCCTCCACTCACTCCCTCTAACAAAACTCAAATGTGCCTGATGGATGTCCAAGCCCCCATACACACAAAACAACTTTACCATCTCCCTCCATCCTTTCCCAAGGACAACCACTCCCCACTTTCCCACCACTTACAGATTTACACACTCAGGTCATCCTGCTTTGCTCCATCCTCTCTAAAGGCAGTCCTCCTTAACAACCCTCCTCAGCCCTTGGGGTAATACTTAGTAACTCTGCACCTCCTCCTAATTCTCCAAATTATGAATTCTCTGCATAACAGTTACATCACACATGCCCTCTGACAATGACTTCTCCACTGTCTCCAAACTCCCTCCCCACTTCAACATTCAAAACCCAAGCTTCACCACCGATTATAAGTGTGTTGGAACCGCTTATACTCTCATGCTTTTCCCTCTGTTTCCACAAAATGTTTTAATGCACTTACCACCTTTTTTCCTTCATCAATTTATGGTTTATTGCATCTTACATATCCCAGCCACCGACTAGCCCCTTTCAAGTCCTGGAGGTGGAAGGAGAAAGTATAGTCCCTGCTGTCTGGAGGGACATCTGAACTGTCGTATCTATGTTGCCTCGGGCAAGCCAGTGCAAAGTGTGGGAAAATTACCATATTTTTAATTTTACAGCTGGCCATCTCACCAAGGCGGGTGACCCAAAAGAGAAACACTTTCACATTATTCTCACTCTCTCATGTCTTGTCAGAGTGTGCGCAGATATGCACATTAATGGCAGTATGCACAACCAATCTTTACCAATATGTGCTTGTTATAATATTATTATTATTATAATCAAAAAAGAAGCGCTAAGCCACAAGGGCTATACAGCGCTGCAGGGTAGGAAGAAGCGGGGTTTTGGATGGCAGAAGGGAGGAGGGATGATCAGTAGGTTACAGAAAACAGCGGGGGCAGGGGATAGTACGGGGGTAGAGGGTAGCAAGAGATTGAAGTAGAAAGGGCTGAAGGATCAGAATTTGTTGAGTCAGTCAGTTGTTGTCAAAAAAGTCAATGAGAGTGTCTGGTGAAAGGTGGGTGTCATTCCAGCGAGAAGGGAAGGTTAAAGAGAGAGAGCGGAGCGAAGACGCGATGGAGGTATATTCTGCGTGCTCGTTGATAAATGGGCAGCGCAGTCCAACAGAATGTGGCTGACTGTTAATGGAGCTTGGCAATTTCACAGAGAGGAGCAGGCGCCTCTCCATGAGATATCCATGGAGAAGTCGAGTATGGCCAATGCGTAGACGGAGAGAGTAGTCTCCCAACCTCGACACTGGTGATAAGAAGACAGCCAGTAACCTATACTCGCGTTTTTAGATTGGAAGTTTGTTGCCGAGCATAGTTGCCAACGGGTGGTGAAGGTGGAAGATATTGCAGCAAAATAGTCCGTAAATGGAATACCTGTGTGTGCTGTTTATAAAATTAAATTCACGATAAAAATGTGGTTACTTTATAAGGACTAAACAGTTTCTATAAATGAAAAATATTTTTGTATTTATCACAAACTTTATGTATACAGTATATGATTTTTATTGGAGAATGGATCAAAGTACCCTTCAATTTTTGCTTTATTTTCATTGTGTTCATAACCATTAAAAGGGTGTTCACATCCACATTCACTAATGAAAGCTCTTTTCCCAATGAAAGTACTCTCTTCTATATCAAGGATTTGTAAGAAGAGCCATCAAGCAACAAACATACAGTCTCATCAAGCTGGGAAAGGGAGATCCTAAACAGCGACTTAAAACACCAATACAGGAATAATTCTACATATAGCATACAGTATACAGATAACATACAGGTATAAGTACTCTGGATTATGGAAAAGGAGGAAGCTAGGACAGTCTTTAAAAAATAGTAATATTCTGCAGCACTTGCCAATTCTATCACAAGTTCCCAACAAGCCTGTGTGAGGGAAAAAGTTCAGTAGATACGGAGTAGCGAGGGAGTATATAGTAATTAATAGTTTCTTTGCCGGCTACTTGTTTAAGGTTGGGTAAGTCAAGATCCCGCTATTCCCGCCTTTTTTCCCCCACCCCGAAAGTGATAGTTTGGACTGCCGATGCTTAAGGGTAGGGTCAGTCTAGCTTCCGCTATCCCTTTCCGTCTTCTTCCCCCCCCCCCCCCGAATGGTGACGTGTGGTGCTCCAGTCCAAACCGTAATCACTAGACTCTCAGCTCCCAGCATTACTGTAAGTACCATGCCTGCCCTTGTATTCTAGTGGATTTATGGTTAAAAGCTTCATCTTTTGACCAATAATAAAAACTTTAGTCCTTTCAGTCTTGCTCTAAGTTGATCTGTTGTACATAATCACCACATCTTTTGGTTTGTTATTATCATGGAGAATGGTTTCTTAAGCAGTGGGTAGGTTAACCTGTCTATCTTTCCTTGCTTGGATGACAGGAGAGGGTCACTGCCAATCACGAGTAGAAAACTGATGGAGATGGACTAACGGTCCTGAGTACTTCCTACCTTTTTGGATTTAAATACCTGTGCACCTGTATTGAAATGAGGAGTAAACCCCTCACAACATTGCAATGGTTAAAGAACCTGCTTTCTGTCATCGGGATAGAATACTCACGGATATACTGAGGGAAGACACGAACCTGTTGGGTTGTAACCACACCTGCAACCCCCCCCCCCCCACCATCATCAGCAACAGCTACGATTTCAACAACACATGTCACCAACACAGACCACCCAAGTTTTTATATTAGCATTGAATTCAGTTATCATTTATTATTTTTAATTTTTCATTTTCTTTATGTCGGATTAGTATTTCATATTTAAGTGTTTTATATTTTATATACAGTGGTCCCTCGTTTATTTCGTTAATTAATCCGGTCCTGGAGCTGTTACTATAAACGAATTTACGATTTGCGAATCAATTTTCCCCCATAAGAACTATTGTAAATACAATTAATCGTTCCTGACACCCAGAAGTATTTTAAACAAAAAAAAATTTTACATGAAATATACATATAGTACATTAAACAATACAATGGGAAATGATGAATGAAACATAACAGCATAACACTTACACTTTATTGGAGATTCTTCTTAGTGTATGGAGACTGGAGGAGGAGAGAGATTGGATTGTTTACAGTTTGGAGGGGATCCCCCTTCCAGCAACACCTTAGGACCAATTGCTTCTCTTGGGTTTTTCTTCTCTTCTCTGTTTCTGAATGCCACTAGGACCACCTTGAGAGTCACTCTAGTCCGTCTCGCAAAGTAAATTGTGGAGAAGAGCTCTGTTTCTTGGCGTCTCTTAACACTTACCGAAAATGGCCCCAAGAACTTTGTCACTGGACATATTGCTCACCTTCTTTACCACAGGCTTTGGCACTAGTAGCTTTCTTTGGAGCATGGTAGCTTATTTAGTAATTGCAAGCACTAAAAAAATTGAGGTTGGGAATATTATGAATATTTCGGTAGGAGCACTTTGAGGTGAACCTTCACTTCCCTGGTAAACAATGCCAGGACTGGCTGGGTAGGACGCCGCCCCAGCTCACAGTGCGTATGCGTCCCAGACGAACTACTATTCGCGAGTCAACCTATGAAAAGCGAGTCCATGTTCATACGAAATACCCCTATGATTGGCAGAAATTTACGATTGCCGAGAACTACGAAAAGCGAGGGACCCCTGTTAATAAATTGTTTATGTTTGTCTGTTATTATTTTCTTTTTCTGTTCATTAATTTTCCTGAGGAGGAGCTAGCCATTAGTAATACTGACTAGAAGTTTTGTTACAGGGCTGTGTAAGCCTTCACAAAGTGCCGACTTTTGCCAGGATTTGACTCTACTGAATCAAGATTCAATTCATCTCGAATCTACCCATTGGAACTTCAAACGCCGCATACAACAGACGGTACACCAGCCATGAGTACAGGAAGGCCCCACTAATACGGCGGGTTAGGTTCCAGGCTAGCGCCTTAAATCGGTAAATCGCCGTAAAGTGGAAACCCTTTTTTCCACTTATAAATGCATTACAAACACTAGATAACAAGATTCACTAAAATATATTAAGTTGCAATAGAACCAGGCATCAAAAAAACAATAAAAGGTACAATACACACATTAGTGAGCTCATTATTACCTTAAAATATTTTATAGTCTTAATCTAGGGTGAGACACAGTAGTATTTTATTGTAAGAAATCAAGTGTGGTATGTATTGTAATAGGCAAGGCTATTTCACCAGGCACTCCCACCACCCACATTATATTTATGATTATTTACGCATCCCAGAGCGATAAAAATGTTATATACAGTTTCACTCATAACTTACCCTTAAAATATCTT